TGTGACTGGGGTCCTTATAAGAACTGGAAGAGAGGCCAGGGATGCAGCACACCGAGAAAAGGCTAGGTGAGGACACAGAGAGAAGGTGGTGGTCTGCAGGCCAAGGAGAGAGGCCTTAGGGGAAATCAAATCCACCAACAGCTTGATCTTAGACTTCCAGCTTCCAGAACTAGAAGAAACATTTCTGTTGTTTAAGCCACCAAGTCTGTGTTATTTTGTTATGGCATATCTTAGCAGACTAGTATATATATTTTGGATGAAGTTATCATGGGCACAACAAATGGTATTTAACGTTATTTACAATGTAAATGTTAAAAAAAAGCAAACAAGAGTATTCCCATTCACCGTCCACCTCTACTTCCCCAAGCATCCACATTTTTATTCGCTGGGAGAATAACAAGACCCAGAGGCAAAACTCAACAAGTTTAAATCATAAAATAAAGATACTGAACTTTTGGAGAATCAGATACCTACCTTATTCTCAATTAAATGTAAAACTAAGCAAAATAAATGAATAAATAAAAATAATTAGATACTTCCTTGAAATTCCAAGTGAGGGAAACACAAAAAAGCTTCCAACAAACAACAGATCACAAGTGAATAAAAATTAAACAGCATCAATTTACGGTCCACAAATGCTACCAATAGTTTCATTTAGTGCAGTGGCTCCGAAACTTTAGTAAACATCAAAATCATCTGAAGGACTTGTTATAACACAGGGTACATGAAGAGTTTCTGAACTGGCAGCTCTGAGGTGGGACTCAAAAATTGTCAATTCTAACATGTTCCCAAGCTGCTGAAGCTGCCCAGTGATCTGAAGAACAGACATTGAGTACTACTACTCTAGTGTATGGTCGCTGTTGTATCGTAATGGATGTGAAACGTATTAGAGGGGTCCCTACAAGTTCATTCATGCGTACTGGTCTCCTGAGATGTCTGAAGTTCTATCTACATGAATTCTACCCTGAATTATTGCAAAATGTAACTTTTTTGGGGTAGGAAGGAGTACCATAGTAACCAAAATAAGAGTCATTTAAATCAAAATGAAACCTGCTATGGACAACAGTTCTATGAGGTTCCAATTCTGAAGTTATTAGCTGTAAGTTATATTTAACATGGTAAATTATATAAAGAAATTTCAAATACAACTTACCAGCATCTCTGGGACACAGCTAAAGCAGTGTTAAGAGGGAAATTTATAGCACTAAATGACCATATCAAAAAGCTGTAAAGATCTCAACAACCTAACATCCCAAATAAAATAACTAAAAAACCAAGGGCAAACAAACCCCAAAGCTAGCAGAAGACAAGAAATAACCAATATCAGAGCTGAACTGAAGATAGAGACACACACACACAAAAACCCTTCAAAAAAATCAAACAATCCAGGAGCTTTTTTTTTTTTTTTTTTTTGAGATGGAGTCTCGCTCTGTTACCCAGGCTAGAGTGCAGTGGTGTGATCTCGGCTAACTGCAAGCTCCACCTCCCAGGTTCACGCCATTCTCCTGCCTCAGCTTCCCGAGTAGCTGAGACTACAGGCGCCCGTCACCATGCCCGGCTTTTTTTTTCATTTTGTATTCTAAGTAGAGACAGGGTTTCACCATGTTAGCCAGGATGGTCTCAATCTCCTGACCTTGTGATCTACCCGCCTCGGCCTCCCAAAGTGCTGGGATTACAGGCATGAGCCACTGTGCCTGGCCAGAAGCTAATTTTTTGAAAAAATTAGTAAAACATGAGACCACTAGACTAATGAAGAAAAGAGAGAAGACTCAAATAAACACAATCAGAAATAAGTGGGATGTTACCACTGACCCAACAGAAAAACAAACTACCATCAGATAATATTATGAACACCTCTATTCACATAAACTAGAAAATCTAAAGAAACACATACATTCCTGGACACATACACCCTCCCAAGGCTGAACCAGGAAGAAACTGAATCCCTGAACAGACCAATAATGGGCTCTGAAACTGAGGCAGTAATAATAGCCTACCAACCAAGGAAAGTGCAAGACCAGGTGGATTCACAGATAATTCCACCAGAGGTACAAAGAAGAGTTCGTTGCTATCATTGCTCCTGAAACGATTTCAAAAAATTGAAAAGGAGGGACTCCTCCCTAACTCATTCTATGAGGGCAGCATCGGCCTGATACCAAATCCTAGCAGACATAACAACAACAAAAAAAAACTTCAGGCCAATATCCCCGATGAACATCGATGCAAAAATCCTAAACAAAATACTGGCAAACTGAATACAGCAGCACATCAAAAAGCTTATCCACCATGATCAAGTAGGCTTCATTCCTGGGATGCAAAGTTGGTTCAACATACAAAAAGCAAAATAAATGAGATTCATCACATAAACAGAACTACAGACAAAAACCACATGATTACCTCAATAGATGTGGAAAGGCCTTCGATAAAATTCAACATCACTTCATGTTAAAAATTCTCAATAAAGTAGGTATTAAATGAACATATTACAAAATAATAAGAGCCACCTATGACAAGCCCTCAGCCAACATCACATTGAATGGGCAAAAGCTGAAAGCATTCCCCTTGAAAACCTGTGAAAGACAAGGTTGCCCTCTCTCATCACTCCTACTCATCATCGTATTGGAAGTTCTGACGAGAGTAATCAGGTGAGAGAAAGAAATAAAGGTATTCAAATAGGAAGAGAGAAATCAAACTATCTTTGTTTGCAGATGACATGATCCTATATCTAGAAAATCCCATCATCTCAGCCCAAAAGCTCAGGCTGATAAGCAACTTCAGCGAAGTCTCAGGACACAAAATCAATGTGCAAAAAGTGCTAGCATTCCTATACACAAAAAACAGGCAAGCCAAGAGCCAAATCACAAATGAACTCCCATTCGCAACTGCTACAAAAAGAATAAAGTACCTAGGAATACGGCTAATAAGGGACGAGAAGGAGCTCCTCAAGAACTACAAACCACTGCTCAAGGAAATCAGAGAGGACACAAACAAATGGAAAAAAATTTCATGCTCATGGATAGGAAGAATCAGTATCGTAGAAATGTCCATACTGCCCAAAGCAATTTATAGATTCAGGGCTATTCCCATTAAACTACCATTAACATTATTCACAGGATTAGAAAAAAAACTGTTTTAAAATTCATATGGAACAAAACGAAACAAAAAAGCCAAACCTGAATAGCCAAGGCGATCCTAAGCAAAATGAACAAAGCTGGAGGCATCTCACTATCCAACTTTAACTATAGTACAAGGCAACAGTAACCAAAACAGCACAGTGCTGTTACAAGAACAGACACACAGAGACCAATGGAACAGAATAGAGAACTCAGGAATAAGACCACGCACCTACCTATAGCCACCTGATCTACAAACCTGACCAAAAAAAAAAAAAAAAAAAAAGGGAAAAATATTCCCCATTTAATAAAAGGTGCTAGGAGAACTGACTAGCCATGTGCAGAAAATTGAAACTGGACACCTTCCTTATACCATATACAAAAATCAACTCAAGATGGATTAAAGACTTAAATGTAAAACTCAAAACTATAAAAACTCTAGAAGAAAACCTAGGCAATACCATTCAGGACATAGGAATGGACAAAGATTGCATGACGAAGATGTCAAAAGCAATTGCTACAAAAGCAAAAACTGACACATGGGATCTGATTAAACTAAATAACTTCTGCATAGCAAAACAAAATATCAACAGAGTAAAAAGACAACCTACAGAATGGGAGAAAACTTTTACAATCTGTGCATATGATAAAGGTCTCATATCCAGCATCTATAAGGAACTTACCATATTGACAAGGAAAAAAAACCATTAAAAAGTAGGTAAAGGACATCAACAGACACTTCTCAAAAGAAGACATACATGAGACCTACAAGCACATGAAAAAAGCTCAGTATCACTGATCATTAGAGAAATGCAAATAAAAACCACAACGAGACACCACCTCACACCAGTCAGAAAGGCTATTATTAAAAAGTCATAAAAACAACAGATGGTAGCGAGGTTGCGGAGAAAAAGAAATACTTTTACACTGTTGGTGGAAGTGTAAATCAGTTCAACCATTGTGAAAGACCTAAAGACAGAAATACCATTTGAGCCAGCAAACCCGTAACTGGATATTACATAAAAGGAATGTAAACTGTTTTCTTATAAAAATGTGCACGTGGATGTTCACTGCAGCACTATTCACAATCGCAAAGGCATGGAATCTAACTTAAATGCCGGTCAGTGATGGAACTGGATAAAGAAAACATACATATACACCATGGAATACTATGCAGTCACAAAAAGGAATGAGATCACGTCCTTTGCAGGGACACGGATGAAGCTGGAGGCGATTATCCTGAGCAAACTAACATAGGAACAGAAAACCAAATACTGCATGTTCTAAGTGGGAGCTAAGTGATAAGAACATATTGGACTCAATGGTGGAAGGAACACCACACACTGGTGTCTGGCAGAGGGTGGGGGCTGGGAGGAGAAAGAGGATCAGTTAGAATAGCTAGTGGATGTAATACCTGGGTGATGGGATGATCTGTGCAGCAAACCACCATGACACATTTACCTATGCAAGAAACCTGCATATCCTGCACATGTAACCCTGAACTTAAAAGCTGGATATTAAAAAAAAAAAGAAAGAAAGAAATTTCAGTGATCTAAATCTTCCAATTAGATTAAAAACCAATATTAAAATACGTTGTTTCTGTAGGTCTTGGAAAAGGTCACTGCTTTAAATAAGTTATTTCAAATTCATTACTAGGAATAAATAATCTGGTTTTTAAGTATATAGTAAATACAATTATAATACTTACCTTCAGCACAAGAGTGACATGATTCTCTGAATGTGCCTTTGAAGGAATAATTTCCATGTAGTGTTTGAGCACTTTGTGTCTCAGCAGTCAGTTATACACACAAACACAAACAACTTTACCACCGTGGTAGAATGTCATAAAATATTAAGGATACTTTACAAAAGCTGTGATGACACATATGAAGTTTCTAAACTTTTAACAGGACTGGAAAACCAATGCAGAATTCTGCTCAGTAGACAACTTAAAATCTAAACCCAAACATATTTTGATAGATACAATATGCAAAATCTAACTTCACAACAGCAACAGTAATAATTCCTTGTCATTAATACCTTGCTAGCACATTGGTACCTTTACAAACAGTATCGTAGAATAGCATAATATTTCATCTTACTCCTCCATCCAGGATCTTTTGTGAGAGGCACTTAGAAACAACACTAGTTTTGGCGACGCTGTATCAAACATACACATAGTATAATGGTCTATTTTACTGTGCTCACAAAACATCATTTATAAAGAAATCTTTATGAATGCAAAAATAGGTTGTTAGTAACATGATTACCTTTGAAGTATGGATTTTGATTTTCATTCACAATATTAATTCATTAACAGTAGTTTCATCTACAAAATGTTCTATAGCTTTTTCCTTTTTGAAAAGGAATAAAGGCAGTTAAGATACTCATAACTTCTAGTTAAACAACATCAATTTTGTTTCACAGTATTAATTAGCAGAGAACATTTTCAATTAAAGTGATACACAATTTACAAAAATAGAATGATTTATATATTGCAAAACATTGTCCTCCATTATGAAGAATATATATATATACATGTGTGTGTGTGTATATATGTGTATATATAAATATTTCTTTTAAGTTTTACAATAGCCCTTATTCAAGTACTTTGGGATTCTCTTGAAATAATCACCTTGCTATGTATTTTAAATACATTTAAAAAGTAAAATTAATCTAAGAAAAGGTTAAAAGTTTCAGTGTAGTTTGACTTAAAAAAAATCAACCACTTGCTTGAGTAAAAACCCTGACCGAATTCAAAACAAGCTCAGGTGCCATACTAAGTTTAAGAATTTTGTTAAAAATATAGATAAATTTAAGTGTCAAATACTTAAACATTTTCCAATTTGCTACCATTAGAGCAGAATCAAAAGACTGTATTAATCTATTAATTATCCAATCTTAATCCCCAGACAAAATTCATGTATATATTATTACTAATACACTAATATACAATATACCTGCTTACAAACACATAGGTAGCCATAAATAAAACTTTATTCTTTATTTCATTTACAAGCTACCAAATATTATGTATCGTACACAGTGCTGAACACTTAAATGGCTGTAGTCATGGAAGGATCCAGACTGAATGGAAAGCTGTTGAGAAAGAAAAGATAAAAGCAAAGTAATACTGTAACAGGAAGGTGGCAAAAGCATAGTTTTGCCATAATAAAATCAATTAGATCTGTGATTATACATCAGTTCTGGTTAAAACAAAGTCTGAGCTCCATGCGATTCTCAGCTTTATTGTTTGCAGTCTGACTAAAGTCTGTATAGTCATTTTGTCTTTTGCAGTCATTAAAATAAAAAAAGTTAAAAACTATAGCAGCAACAAGCAAACCCTGTGACAGGAAGGCAAGGGTTAAGAACTAAAAAGAGTTTATACAGTGTGTTTAGGGAAAGTGTGCAGTTTATCTTCCATCAGCAGGAGTTCGACTGAGGGACAACATGATTCGGGCAAATCGCTCACAGAGTTCATGCGTGGAATACGAAGGTAACTTCGGTGGCTCATGGAAACTTTTAATCTCCATAGAACAATCAAGTAGTTTTGGCAAAAAATCTGTCAGCTTTTCTTGAAGGTGTGCTGCAAATACAAACAATTAAATCTAACTAAAGATAGAAATTATGACATGATCATTGTCAACACGATTTACTATTAACTTGCCATGATAGGTAAGATAATTGCCATTTTGGGGAGACAAAAACAAATGGCAACTGCAATGCACCCAGCTTAGCTCATCAATATGGAAAAAGAGTAATGTGAATGTGAAATTATTAAATATAATACTTAATATTATATTTAATATAAAAAATGGCAAGAATAAATAACATCTAATTCTAACTGCGTTTAATCCCGACATCTCAGGTGCCTACTACCATTGTTTAAACTTACGTTCCATTTCTTGACCGAGGTAGGAACACCATCGATTTCTCATATCTTCTACAGCTAGTATATCCTTCTCTTCCATTTCATCCACCAGTAATAATGGCAAAAATGGGACAATAAACTCATTCATGATAATCAGACCATTGTTTACTTCTCGATCCTCTCCAGATTCGAAGAGTTCTGCGGCTTGCTCATTTAATTTCTTAATGCAATGCAAAAAAAAGAATAGGTTTTTGTTTCCTTTTTAAATTAAATATCTGTAAGTATTAATAAGGAAGACAACATAAATATGTTCACAAACAGTATTAGAACAAACGGTATTTAGAGAAAACAATCTCAACCTATCTAGAACTGAAAACCTCTCTTTAGAAAACGCTATGTATATGACAACAGAAGAAACAAAAGCAAACGGTGGTGGATGGAACATTACTGTGTTTTTCACTATTGTTTGGCTTATGTTGATCATCAATACAGGTGACATTTTTTCTTCTCTAGAGATTAACTTCCCCCAATTATAAAATTTTATAAGCACTCATAATAGTTTTAAAAATAAATAAATTCAGAATCCATATTAATTTTTGAAAAACTCATCTCCATAAATGGCAACTGAATATATACTATTGTATTCCTTGATACAGAAATATAAAGGTAATCAATTCACTTATCCCTTCAAAAACTTCCTACAGAGTAAACACCATGTGCCAGAAATTTTTCCAGATGCAGGGGCATTCAAGTGATTAATACAGAAAACTCTCACGGAGCTTACAATCTGGGAAGAGGATTGGCAAACTTTTTCTGTGAAGGTCCAGACAAGGCCTACTTCAGGCTTTGAAGGCCACAAAGTTTCTGTTGCAACTATTCAACTCTGCTTGTAGTACAAAGGCAATAATACATAATATATAAATGAATGTACATGGCTATGTTTCAATCAAACTTATCTATAAAAACAAGTGGTATGTGGAGCACAAGCCATAGTGTGCTGATCACTGATCTAGTAGAACAGAGAAATCCATGCAATAAGAAACGTAAGAGATAAATACAGGTATAAGACCTATAATATTTAAGGGTTCTTATTTAAAATCTTATGTTTACAGCATGATAAATGTGACTTTGAAAGTTGAATTTCAAATAAAAATATTTACATATTTACACCGTAATTCTTGTGCAATTTATTTTGATTTTGGAAAGAACCTTGTGCTGTAAGTCCAACTTGGCCATGAATCAATTACCCAATTGATACGGTTAGGTTTTGTGTCTCCTCCCAAATCTTATCTTGAATTGTAACCCCCAGGTGTTGAGGAAGAGACCTGGTGGGAGGTGATCAGATCATAGGGGCAGTTTCCCTGATGCTGTTCTTGTGACAGGAAGTGAGTCTTGAGATCGGACGGTTTTATAAGCACTGGCATTTCCCCTGCTTGCACTTCTCTCTCCTGCCACCATGTGATGAAGGTCCTTGCTTCCCTTCACCTTCCGTCCTCATTTTATGTTTCCAGAGACCTCCCCAACCATATGGAACTGTGAGTCAATTAAACCTCTTTCCTTTATAAATTACCCAGTCTTGTGTAGTATCTTTATAGCACTGTGAGAACGGACTAATACACCAATCATGAACAGATTAGCTAAATCTCGTAGCTTCACTTTCTTTACATTAATAATAGGGCATTATTATTTTCCTACCATAGGGGTTAAGAGAATAAAATGAGATAAATCTTCAAGTATTTACTACAATTTTTGAAAGTATGCATTAAATGAGAGATGAAATTTAATGACAAGTTTAATGTTAAGTTCACTGAATCAAACAATGTCTTGGAAATCTCTTAAATATAACGTTCAAAGCCAACCTTGTTCCTTCTATTAGATTCCCTAATATTAAATGAAAAACTAGAAAGTTTGGCAGCTTTGACTCTTCCATTTCCTTCTTTCCACTCACCCAACAGCTATGACACGCCCTGATTTCATTTCCTTCACCATCATACCTACTGTACTACATAAGTCGAGGCCCTCACTCTCCATCCCTTGACTTTCCCCTCTAAGGTTCTTGACTTCAATCTACTTCGTTCCTGTTCATCCTCTAGTATGCTATTATTATTACCAGAATTATCTTCTGAAAACAAACCTCATCATGCCAAACCTAATCAAACTTACACTGGTGCAAGTGCAACTCATCTGAATGTCATATAAGTTTCTTTATCATCTGACCAATATCGACAAGTATTGTCAGCTTCATCACTTCCACCTTACCCCACTTCCTCATAACCTGGATAGCCACAATGAATTTATGTTTATTTTCTGTTGTGCACTGGAATATTCTCCCTTCTCTATCATGAATAAAACTCCTATTTATCCATCAAGATCCAGATGAGATCTTAAGAACCTTCTCTCTTAAGGTTCTTCCCAAATATTTCAGGCATATCACTGTGCATATTTCTCATAATGACACTTATTCCAGAACATAACAATTATTTCTGTATTTCTCCTATCAGACTGAGTTTTCTGAGGACGGGAAGTACATCTTACTCATATTTGTATCCCTCAGAACCTAACACTTTGTAAATATATAATATGAAAAAACCTGAAAGGAACACTAAAGTAATCTTGATGAGGTTTCATTTAAATTCCTATGTAAAACAAATAACCAAATGTGGTTAGGTTACTATCAAAAATGATGAGAAACATCATATCATTTTTTGAATGTTTCAGAGAAACCATCAGGTTTTGGTAGTATTTATGTTTAAAATCAGCTATACTATTCTTATATCTCAAAATTCAATTTTTTTAAGTTAAACAGAAATTACTCTGATACATTCTATGCATATTCTTGTTTTTTTGAGATGGAGTCTCACTCTGTCACCAGGCTGAAGTACAGTGGCGCGATCTCGGCTCACTGCAACCTCCACTTCCTGGGTTCAAGCGATTCCCCTGCCTCAGCCTCCTTAGTAGCTGGGACTACAGGCGTGCACCACCACACCCGGCTAATTTTTGTGTGTATTTTAGTAGAGACGGGTTTTCACCAAGTTGGCCAGGATGGTCTCGTTCTCCTGACCTAGTGATCCACCAGCCTCAGCCTCCCAAAGTGCTGGGATTACAGGCGTGAGCCACCGCACCCAGACTGCATATTCTTATAGACTTACATAAAACTTTTTTTTAAGACTTATCTATGCATCCCTTCCTCTCCCACCAAAAAAAAGGAGTGGTAGTGTGATAAAGAAATGTAAATACAGAAATGTAAACAAACTGATGCTACTTTAAGAACATTTCTCATTTATCACCTATAGTACTTGGGATTCATAAAGAGAAAAGAATAAAGAACTGAGTGCACTTTGCCATCTGAAGGGACTAGAACCAGTTTATAGACATCATCATGTTCTTATCCCATCAGAGTTTATGTAGTCATCATTTATATATGAGTCTGGAAAACTTGCCCAATGTCAGACAAAATGGTAAGATCATACTATATGCATTCAACTTACTAGTAAACATTCTCTCCTATAATGTGATATCAATTCTTCATCATGTCCTCTGTATAAGCCTTTAGACAGGAGTTCTTTGTTATTCTGATAAGCACAGATGAGGAACAGCAAGGAATCTATATAACTTGAAAATTAAAAAGAAACATATAACATTAGTATTTCACCTTTGTAGAAACAAAGTCAGCTACAATTATAAAACATTTTAAGTATATGCTTAAGTTTTGATAATCTACATTATAATAAAAAATATCATCAGATGCAACTGAAACCCGGAGACAGTTATATCTTAAAAGTAAAAAATAAAATAGAAGCAACAAATTAAGAAAAAATCTGGGAAAAGAGGCAATAACGGATAAATTCGGATAGTTCTGTCTTCCTTGGTATTTATTTTCCAATGTCTTCCATTTGAACTCAGAATTGAAGCTAATGTGAAACCAACAATCTACTTGTTGAACGCAGTGTCCCACATGCATGAAGGAAAAACTCAGGTTACTCCATTTTATGATCACAAACATCATTTGGTTTGTTCAACGACAACGTAGGTTCTTTTCTATGTGCAGACAGTTTTAGTTATTGGGAAAAATGTAAAAAAACAGAAATAAGAAGATCTAAAGGAAAGAGAGGAAGTGGAAAATGAAAGATTTCTTCTAAATCTGGGAAACCTAGTGGAATAAAGCAAAAACAAAAAGCCCCCAAACATAAAAAAGCTGATAGAAGCCGGGCGTGGCAGCTCACGCCTGGAATCCCAGAACTTTGGGAGGGCGAGGCAGGAAGATCACCTGAGATCAGGAGTTTGAGACCAGTCTGACCAACATGGAGAAACCCCACCTCTACTAAAAATACAAAATTAGCCGGGCATGGTGGCGCATGCCTGTAGTCCCAGCCACTCGGGAGGCTGAGGCAGGAGAATCCCGGGAGGTGGAGGTTGAGGTGAGCTGAGATCACGCCACTGCACTCCAGCCTAGGCAACAAGAGCAAAACTCCATCTCAAAAAAAAAAAAAGTGATAGAATTAGGCATATGTGTTATATTAATATAAGTCTAGATATTATGAAGTTCAAATCAGATTTTAAAAAAGGAAGAAAAGGGGTGGGACACGGTGGCTCATGCCTGTAATCCCAACAATTTGGGAGGTGGTGGTGAGAGGATCAGTTGAGGCCAGGAGTTCAAGACCTGCCTGGCCAACAGAGTGAGACCACCATCTCTACAAAAACATAAAAAAAAAAAAAAAATTAGCTGGTTCTTGAAATCATAGATTTCACTTCACTATTCTCAGGACTCACAAGGGTCCAACAGTAAGTACTTCATTCAAGGCTTTAAATGTTTACATTTTCATTAGAAACAATTTTGACAGAACCTTTTGGCAAGATTTTATACACAGCCAGCAACAATAACTGCTATATTTACAGTAAAAGATGGTGTCTCGTTCTGTCACCCAGGCTGGACTGCACTGGTGTGATCTTGGCTCACTGCAGCCTCCACCGCCCAGGTTCAAGTGATTCTCCTGCCTCAGCCTCCTGAGTAGCTGGGATTACAGTCGCACACACCAATATTTCTTTAAAAGATATTCCATAAGTAATATCTGTCACCATCGATTTTCTAGTTAATCCTCCTAATTTGATAAGCATTTACTATACTAGAATATTAGCTTTCTGAATAAGCATCTATTTGAAAACTGACAAGCAAATTATAATATTTAAACATATTTCCAAGTTATATCTCAAATTCCTTTAAGATATGTTAACTGGGAACAACTAATACAGAAACTATGCAGACAGATATAAAGTGGCAGTTTCATCTTTTTAATTCTTATTGAGATAAATGAATACATTTGGTATTTACATGATTTCATTAAATTATACAAGAATACGAGGTCTCTTAATTTTTCTTTTCCTAGTTAGCTGCCTGACCTTGACAAAGTTACTACATCTCTGTGAAGTCTGATTTATCAGTAACACTGAAATGCCTTTTTTTTTATCTTACTCTATTGAATTATACAATCATATTATTTCTCTCAAATCAGCACAAAGCTTATAAATTCTAGTACATCTGAATATTCCTATTAAAGAAATACAATCTTGACGGACATAACTTATAAAATGGTGGTATCGAGCAAAGTAAGTGTTCTACATCAATGACCAAAGCGAAATTATCTTATAAATAGCACAATGACTAGGACTTTAAATAATCTGTACTTAAGTACTTAAGATAAATTGTTAAGTAAAACATTACTTTTTCCTTTTGTGTGATAACTTAAAAATTTTTGATAACTATTAATATAAAAATGAAAGTACTGTCCTCTAGAATAGTACTGTCCAGTAGAAATTTCTGTGATTATGGAAATGTTCTATGCTGGTTAAAAATAGAGGCCACTAACCACTAGTAGGCTACTGAACTACTGAAATGTGGCTGGTGTAACTGATGAACTGAACTTTGGTTTTAAAATTGTCAGTTATTTAAGTTTTGTCACGTGGCCACTATGTTGGACAGTATAGCTCCAGAATTAAACATTGATCTTTGTTTCGTTTTTTGAAAAAGAAGCATCATTACCTAAGTGGGAGCTTCTTAAACTTCATTAAGAAAAAAAAAAAAAAAAAAAAAGGAAAAATTCAATATCCCTTTTACTTGGCTGCAATATACATTGCATTGAAAATAAAGCATTTCCTCAAAAAACAATCACTAGTCAAGTTATTGTTAAATGACATGCATTAAGAAATAAGTGGAGAAATACATGCAAACTAGTAAATATTCTAAAATGTAAGTAAAGCAAAATGTATCCTTTCTTCTTAATAACAATTAAAATAATTGTTAAATAAGTAGATATTCCTTTAAGATTATCTTTAATTTAAATGAAAATTAATCCAAAATTTGTTTAAAGTCACATACTCAAAAATTTTCTACAGCTACACTTTTTATAGTACCTGAAAGTTCACAAAGACAGAAAACACTCCAACTTGCTATCAAGATGAGACTCAGCCTCAAGTGCAGTATCTGAGAGCTGACAAACACAGACACTAATGCCGACCTTATGGATTTTTTAATGGAAAATATATTTTATGTGGGGTAAATGGGAAGTCTCTACACTAACTTTGCAATTTCTCTGTAAATTTAAAACTGATCTAAAATAAAACATTTATTAAAAATACAGTGTGTGAATACAATCTTTTCCATGGATGAGGTCATATCTGAATAGAATTAAGTGCAAAAATTATGCTCTTTTCATATTTGTCTACTTTGCCTTACCTTTCTCTTTGAAAATTTTCTAGTCCAATTATGAGATACATAGTTGTTTCCCTGAATTTCCTATAATCCTGATGCCACTCCTGTAAGTGAAAGAAAAATTAAAAATGTTCAAAATAAGATTTAAACACTACTATGAAACCGTTCAAAAATAATATACTATTCTGCTACTATTTGAATTAATAGAAACAAAGAGTTCAAAATGAAGATACATCAGAACTAAAATAAGACTTTACTTTCTGGCACACAAGACTATTTATTAATATAACATTAAATCTAAAAATTATTAGGCATTGATATGAAATTAAAGATTTTACTAGCAGATAACAGAAATATAAAGGCAGGATAATCCATCAGGTCATCTCAAAAATTCATTAGTATAAAATCGTATTATTGAAATATTATTGTATCTACATCAACTCATGGAAGAATATGAAATTATTACACTGAGTATGAACCAAAGCTTGAACACTTATACTTGATACATAATTTTAAGAAACTAAAAAAAAGTTATGATAGATTTATTTAACCTTTTAACTTTGCAAATGTGTGGTAAATTTAAGTGTGTAGGTGAATAGTTTATTTACATGAGATACGGTAAAAGAACAGCTGCAGTTCATATTTCAGTGCCCCTCCCCACCCCTCAAACAACTACAGGGCATGTAATAGGACTAAATAATTCTAAGGTGATATCCTGTAACTCTTAAAGAGAATGAAGTCAAGATTTTCTTAACTTACTTTATAATAACTGACTCAAGAAAAAAACCTGAAATTCAGTATAAGACAAATTGGAAAGAGAATACTGATAACAAAAGTGTTAAGGCTTTTATATAAACATTATAAACAAAAATAAGAAACACAGACACGTTATTAGCCAACCATATTCTCCTTGAACATAATTTTTTTTTTTTTTTCTTTTTTGAGACAGGTTCTCACTCTGTCGCCCGGTCTGCAGTGCAGTGGCATGATCACAGCTCACTGCAGACTCAACCTTCTGGGTTCCAGCAATCCTCCTACCTGTCTCCCAAGTAGCTTGGATTACAGGTGCACACTTCCAGTTCTAGTTAATTTTTAAATCTGTTTTGTATAGACAGGGTCTTGCTGTGTTGGCCAGGCCAGTCTCAAATTCCTGGTCTCAAGCAACTCCCTGTGCCTTGTGCTGGGATTATAAGCATGAGCCACCACACCCAGCCTTAATTTTAATTTTCAAGACATAATTTTCATGCTATTAGATATTAATAACAAATAAAGGTAAAATCTGTCCTGCAAGAATAAAGTTAGCTCTTCTGGGGAAGGTATTCAAACTGTCATTCCTTGTCGTCATCAGAATTGCCTTGGAAGTTGTGAGTACACAAACTTTTTCTGTAAAAGGTCAGAGAGTAAATGTTTTAGACTTTGCAAGCCTCATCTTCGGTTACTCAACTCTGTAAGTGCAGTGTGAAAGTATCTACAGAAAATATGTATACAAATGACCATGTTCCAATAAAAGTTTATTTACAAAAACAGGTGGTAAGCTGGTCTGCAGGCTATGGTTTGCTGAACCCTGAACTTAGAGCAAGACCAAAAATGTGAGGAATATGCAGACTCTAAAAACAAGTCATTTAAATACTTGTATGATTTAATGGCCCTGCAGTTAGAATATGAGGTTTGTGAATAAAAATATGATGAGTCTAATCCGTTGAAGCAAACTAAAGAAAGTGGTGCAGAATCAAGTCACAATTAAAAATCAAGTCCCATGAACACCAACCTTGGGGACAAGGGTAGACCTCTCAATCAACTGGAAGGGTACAGATTTGGAGTCATTATTAGCTAAAAGATGACTTGACTTGCTCCTCAGGGTCAAGATAAAACAGATTTTGAATTTCTCGGGCTCTAGATTACATATCCTGGTCAAAAATATCTGGTCAATGAGTGCCTTTTATGGATAAATGAGTGTCTTTAGGCTTCTACCTATGTTGACTTCTAAACAGCTTTGCACAGGAGCCTTTCACAACTGAAATGAACTTTTGCATATGGAATGAACAAGAAATCAAATTTTATTTTCCAGAACTATTTATTAGAAAGTCTTTCTACTGTTCACTAATTTGCTTGTCAGAGATAGGAGGTGGACTGGGATCTTTGCATTTCCATAACATTGTCGGCTTATCAAGCTCCATAAAACATCTTGCTAGAATTTTGATATGGCCTACACTGAATTTATAAAGCATTTGGGGGAAAAGTGGTATCTATATATTAATAATATCAAGTTTTCCAAATACCATATGTATGCCCATTTATTTAGGTCTTTGTTAATGTCTCCCGATAAGTATTATAATTTTCCCCACAGAAGTCACCTGCACATTTTGTTAAATTTATTTCTATATACTTCATAGTTTCAGATACTATTGTAAATGGTCTCACTTTTATACTTTCTAATTTTTTTTCTTTTTTTTTTTTTTTTACTGGTATAAGGGAATAAACTGATATCTGACACAAGTTTGCATGTTGCAAAGCTCTCTTACTAGTTCTAATAAATTGTAGATTTTATTTGAATTTCAAGATAAAAAAACTACAAATAATGATGTCTTTGTTTCTCTTTTCCAATATTTTACTTTTCACTTATTTTTGTTGCCTTGTTTTTGATAAGAAAAATTTTAAGCTTTCAATGCTCACAATTCTATATATTTGCTGCAGTTTTATTATTTCTTATTTTTGTTTTTAGAGATACTCTTTAGTGAATTAGGTAGTTACTTTATATGCCAAACTAGCTAAGGTTTTCATCAATAATGAGTGTTTGCTCTATCTTTCCTCTTCTCTCTTTATGTAGTGAATTACACTAATTGTTTAGGGAATCTAAAGTGCCATAATTAAGTTTGTAAATTGAACCAAATATTAAGCAAATGCACCCAAGAAAACAACTTAAAATTCACTAGACTTGTAAATTTAAAAAAGGCAATGTATAAGGTTAAATTTAAAAACTTGAAGAAATACTAGGTGTATTAATTCATCAATTAAAATAAAGAATATTTTAAAGCCAAAGTTGACAAAAAGAATTTTGTGCACAAAAAAATCCCACAAGCACAAGTACCTATGTAAGTGCTCTCTCACACACAACACTGTCTCATAATGACAAATATACATGGCATATAGTGACTAAAATGAATCTCTAACTTCCCCAAAATATATCTGATGAATCAAAGTGAGGAAAAAATACAGCCCACAGTGTACAGCTGCACAGGGTAGTGCAACAGTTAAAGTAGCCTCTATTAGCCAAGCTGTGAACTTGTGGCTGTGAAAACCTTAGGCAGGTTACTTCACTGTTCTATGCCTTATTTTCTTGTGTGTCAAATGGGAATAAGAACACTACCTACCTCACAGTGTTATTGTCTGAATTAAATCAGTTAATACATGTAAAGGGCTCAGACAAATGCCTGGCATAGTGAGCCTAGATTGCGCCACTGCACTCCAGCCTGGGAGACAGAGCAAGACTCCGTCTCAAAAAAAAAAAAAAAAAGAAAGAAAGAAAGAAAAATGCCTGGCAAATAGTAGGCTTTTGATAAATATTACTTGTTAATATTATGTAACAGCAATTTCTAAGTTGATTTCAAAATTAACAATGTACTTTTACTTCGTTAAGCTAGAAAAGTTCATTTAAAAAGTAGTTGAGAACTAGCATTGAAATAGAAAACCAAAAATCTTCCTTTTCTGATTTTAAAGTTTTTGGTCTACATGCTATCACATCATGTTAATCCTAAAATCATTTATAAAATTATTAATTACTTGAGCATTGACTTGGAAACTTAATTTTTTACTCATCATTCATAACAAATTCTACTTCTGTTGGGTTGAAATGAAAGGAATATCAGTGAATTACAGAATCCCTAAATCTGTAGTTTTACCTCTAAAAAAGTACATTACCTCATATTCTTCCAAGTTTACTTCTTCAGGTTTTATCATTTCCAGTTTGGCTTGAGCAACTTTCATTATGTTGTGACACCTTAAAAAAAAAAACATATGTGTGTGTGTGTATATATATATATTTGTAAATCAAAAGCAAAAGCCATAAACACTGAGCAAAAATAGCAATACTTTTTTATAGAAACAACTTCTAAATAACCTTAAGAGAAAAATATTTTTGGGACCAATGTTGGAGAATTACAAAGAAGATAGGAGCAGTAACTCTAATTCAAATTTACTGTGTTGTATTGATATATGACTTTTAAATTACATTCTAACTAACACAGTTTGCATAGGAAAAAAATGAAACTTTTAAAAAATAATGTGCATCTATTAACCAAGCTCAAGAGACACTGCATCTTCTCCCCCTGCCCCACAGTATTATTTACTCTTAAATACTAAAAAGAAAGAGTCTAAAATGTGCCTATTATCTCAGGTAAAAATGGAAACATTCCAGTGGATTTTATGATCAGAATCAGTGACAAAGAAATCCTTACAAAATATATTTATTCACATGCGTATAACTCTGTCTTTCAAGCACAAGTAAGGTTATCAAAACAGATTAACTAGTTAGAGTCAGATAATTGCAAAAGATTGAAAAGTCAATGTTATTACTCCATTAATATCTTCTCCAAATTAAACAGCATAGATCCAACGGAACTCAGTACACTGATAGCACCGATAACGAGGGTCACAACAACCCAATTTCTGACTCTCTGCAGTCATATGTATCAAAATAAATCATGTCCATACTGCTGCTAATACAAATAGTAGTGGCCAACATTCATTGAGCATTCAACCATCTATCAGATATTGTTCACAACCATTTATTTGTATTTAGCACAGAATCTTACATTTCACAGCACATACCTAGTAAGATAGGATTGATCCAGATGCTTTGCTTCCCCTCATATTCTTCACTACACACTTTTAACTCAGTATTTTTGAGACATTCATAAAAGGATAATCATTTCAGAATTAAAATTACTATGAACTGCAAGACAGCATCAATGTTTTTATATACGAAAATAACTTTCAATACTCTAATATTTCACATGGGCCCTAAAATTGTTTCCTAGTGTCATTCATTCTAATTAAATTGTGATTTTTAACATTAGTAGTTTTATAGGACTTTCTGAATAATTCTTTATAAAACTAATAATCCAGAGAAAACATTCTCTGGAAATATTCTATAGAATATTTTCTATATTCTACAGAAATTTCTATAGAATATTTTCTTTCCAGAGAAAATGTTTCTGCGTGAATCTAATTTAACCTTTCTAAGCCTCCTCTTTACGTCAAAGAATGTTTATATTTTATCGGCAAGACTAAAACCCTTTCTCCAGTGATTCTCTACTAAGGGTGATTTTGCTCCCCTAGGAGTTATTTGGCAATACCTGGAGATATTTTGGTATGCCACAACTTGGGAGCTGCTACTGTCATCTAACAAAGAGATGAGGGATATTATCAAATATCCTACAATCATAGCACAGCCCCAACAACAACGATTTATCTAATTTAAACTATGTATATAGTACAGAGGTTGAGAAGCCCATTTTTGTTTCTAAAATATTGAGTTTAGTAAGTGTAGTGATTACTTGATTCACAATTAAAATTTATTAAAATGATCTAAGTTATTCTCAGTTCAAACTTCAAAAGGCCACAGACTCCAGCAACTGTTCACATTGAGTTCAAATTGTTATGTATTTATTAAAATACGTGCCCATACATATATAAAATAAATACTCAAGAAATTATCCTGGGAATCTGCATGAAAAGAACACTTTTAGCATAAGAATTTTATATTTTTAAATTACCTTTCATCGAAACTCAAATTTCTGTCACCAAATTGTTCTAGCAATGTTTTCTCAATGATTTTCTTTGGTGTCTGGTTCTGGATAAAGTAGACCACGACATGATGTAAACGATAGTCGGTTTCTGGTGGGGTGTCTTCTTGGGCCAACTTAACCAACCTTGCATATTCCAACTTAATTGCCTGGAAAATGCAATGAAAATGACAATTTTGGTTAATTATTTAAACACCTAAAAATCCTTCAATATTACAAGTTTAATTCTTCTTGCATATAAATATTTTCTTTTTTGCGGGGGGGGGGGCTTTTCAAGTATTACAAACAAGGCGGTACATCTAAGAACATAGTCCCATGTTCCACAGTCTCAAAGTATTTCCTGAATAACTGATCACAGAGCCCCTTCTATTTTTTTTTTTTTTTTTTTTCAAATGAAGTCTCGTACTATCCCCTGGGATGGATTGCAGTGGTGCGATCTTGGCTCACTGTAGCCTTCACCTCCCAGGTTCAAGCTATTCTCCTGCCTCAGCCTCCCAAGTAGCTGGGATTACAGGCACCTGCCACCACGCCCAACTAAATTTTTTGTATTTTTAGTAGATAAGGGGTTTCACTATGTTGGCCAGGCTGGTCTCAAACTCTTGACTTCATCATCTGCCCGCCTCGGCCTCCCAAAGTGCTGGGATTACAGGTGTGAGTTGCTGTGCCTGGCCACAAAGGCCCTTCTTTATCCCTTCACTATATAAATGTTCTTTTTGTTTCCACACATGAAAGTGGTAAAATAATATGTCTAAACTTACAATGTGAGTCATTTTGTAAAATTTATCAGAGCCTAGTCAAAGTCTATTCACAGACATCATAAGATGGAGATGGCAAGTTTTCCCATTCTATTTTTGAATAAGAAAATTCTAGAATTGATATATAGCTCCCAACAATACTCAAATCTGAAAGAAAATTGTTCTTAAATGCATAGTTGTATTATTGAAATTAACTTTTAGCTGAATAGCCCACAAATAAGGAATGTAACATCAAGCCCTGGGGTTATAATTATCACAAAAAGAAGTACTTATTGCTTCAACAGTATGTAAATTTTATTAATGTAAGAATAATAACGGTTATATATTATAACTATTATTACCTTGAGGTTTAAACTTAGTTTTTCTTTAACAAGAATATCTCATACAAATAATAAGGGGAAATAACAAAGACTAATGCATGTTTTAATACACAAGCAAAATCCAGAAAATATCTGACCATAGAGAAATATATATAGACTTACACATAAAATACTGCTATGTACAAGAGGTCCATATGATTAAGATAAAGCTTTTCATATTCATTTATATTATACTTACATGTAAATTCTAGCTCTAATAAGCATAAACATTTTGAGCTTCAGGCAAGATTACAAAAAATCCATTCAATTAAAAAGTTTTTTTAGTTTAAAAAGTGCATGCCTTTCTTAAGTAATTCTTTGACATCTAGATGTTATGACCTATATGATTGTATTTTACAGATGGGAGAAAAAATAACTGATAAACATTAAATGAAATATTCTAGTTACATAATATCATACTTCATTAAAAGGAAGGCTAATATGTTCTTTCTATGCAGCCTAAGATTATAAATAGAATAAGGAAACAAATTATTCTAAAATACTTTTCCCTTGAAAAAAACTGACTTTTTTTTTGAGGATATACATGTCATTCCAAAGTCTTATGTGAATAAATAACAGCCATAAATATCAACTGTATTTTAATATATAAGATTATCAACGCTCACTGTGTGCCTAGTTAGCACACATAAACTTCGCTTAGAACTCATTAAAAATCTTCCTATTATCCAAATTTGGAAAAAAAAGGGGGGGGGCACATACATAATAATCGAAGTATACTGAATTTGAGAATAAATCTAAAACATTAACAATTCAATTACTGTCCTTGTTGATACGAACTTTAGACAATGATTGTCACAGGCTACAGGTCGCTAATCTGAAATGCTTGGGACCAGAAGCAATTCCAATTTTAGACTTTTTTCAGATTTTGGAATGTTTGCATTATGCTGGTTGAGTATTCCGAATCCGAAAATCCAAAATCAACGATACTCCAATGAACATTTCCTTTGAGTATCATGTTGGCACTCAAAATGTTTGGATTTTGCAATATTTCAGATTTTGAATTCTGGATTTGGGATGCTCAACCTGTAACAGACTTTTAGAATATTCAAATATTTCATTCATCATACTTTAGTCTAAAATAGCATGACCAAAATAAAACAAATTTGTAGCGAGTCTCTTAAAATAATATTGTAGGTTTATATACATGGAATGATCCCACTAAATGGTCATCAATCCCCTACCTACTTTCAAAATAGAAGCTGTTTTAATAAATAGCAGATTTCTATTATAGAACTGAAATATGTTCACTTCTTGATTTTGCTGAATTTAAGATTCTCCTAATTTTCACAAGCAAACTGCCAAAGTCAAAGTATTTTCAATATATAAATGTTTAAACCAACAGAGGTAGAAAGACACTTCTAAATTTCTAGGAGCTATTTTTCAATCATACAAGAAAACATTTTTACCAGCGTAAATGCGTTTCTTAACTATTTTTATACACTTCCTTTTTAAGAAATTAACTTCTAAATTTCTAGAAGCTGTTTTTCAAACACACACAACAAATTTTTACTAGCATACATGCATTTCTTAATGATTTTTTATACATTTCCTTAAGAAATTTTATGGCTTTTAAAATATACTGGAATCGTATTTATCCAAATTCCCAACAGATGTTCCATGCTGGTATATTTAGCAGAGTTCTACACAATCTGCCATTATGAGTAAAGTTAACATTATATTTGTCTCATATTACCTCCTCAGAATCCTGTTGGCAGCCTATGCTAATTATTTTAAGTTAATTATCAGACACTGCAATGAAATCACCGTGCATTTGCTAAATGAAATGTGACACTACTCATTAGATGACAGAACTGCTTTGTATTTCATTTTTTTAACTTTTTTCACTACGCCTTTAATCAGGCTCAATGCCATTTATTCAGTCTTATTTCCTATCACCCTGCAACAAGGATCTCCCTTCTATCTAGGTTAGGCTTGTCTCCTCACAAACGCACACATGCCTTTGTTTCTTCTCCATTATGTGTGATATCCTTTCTTGTTCATTCCCCATCTACCTACAGATGGCCTATTCAGTAAAATTAGTTTAAGCCATGATTTTCAGACCTTGTTCAGTTCGAAAGATGCAAATAAATTCTACCTAGACTTTGCTCTACTTTTCAAAATATTATAAAACCATATTCTAAATTTATAACATATTGACTTAATTTTTATATAAACTCTCTCTCTCTCTCTCTATATATATATATATATGAGGATACCAAATATATAAATATTTATATTCTGGAGGCAGTTAAATCTAATGGGAAACTGAGGAAATTAAAATTCAAAAAGCTAGATACGTCATTTATAATTAACTGTGACATAGAATAAGGCACATAATCTTCTAAGTCTGATTGCTCTTATCTCTAAAATAAAGTTGGTTAAGAGAGTTTATGTGTATTTTAAAATGCTTATGGGTTATTTTTTAAAAACTGACAGTGCTAAGAAATGAAGAAAACTTAGTTCAAATTCCAGAGGACTGAAATACTGTAGGCCATATTCTTTGACCACACTGTAATACAAACAGGAATTATAAATAGAGCTATCTTCCAAGCTAAACACTTAGAAAATTTAAAATATGGCTCTAAATTATTCTTGAGCCAAAGAAATAAAAAACTGTACTAATATGGGAATATCAGATATCAAAATCTATTGGGCTGTTAGTCAAAAAAATTTCCAGGCCAAGCACGGTGATTCACACCTGTAATCCCAGCACTTTGGGAGGCCAAGGTGGGCAGATCATCTGAGGTCAGGAGTTCGAGACCAGCCTGGCCAACATAGTGAAACCCTGTCTCTACTAAAAAATAGAAAAAATTAGCCGGGTGTGGTGGTGGGCACCTGTAATCCCAGCTACTTGGGAAGCTGAGGCAGGAGAACTGCTTGAACCTGGGAAGCAGAGGTTGTGGTAAGCCGAGATCATGCCATTGCACTCCAGCCTGGGCAATAGTGCGAGACTCTGTCTCAAACAAACAAAATTAGCTGGGCATGGTGGCAGGCGCCTGCAATCCCAGCTGCTTGGGAGGCTGAGGCAGGATAATCACTTGAACCTGGGAGGCAGAGGTTGCAGGGAGCCGGTACTACGCCACTGCAGTCTAGCCTAGGCGACAGAGTGAGATTCTCTCTCTCTCTCTAAATATATATATCTCCAGTTTGAATATAGTTGGATGGAAGACCAAAAAGGGGAAGAAAACTTACTGGTAGAAATAAGAAAGGTGATAATACAGAAAAAAAATGTTTCAAAATTTCTTGAAGGATAACACATATAACTTTGTCAATAAACTATAGTATCCTGAAAGATAATAATCTAGAAAAATATAAACTACCAGAACTGCTTTCAGAGGCAGAAAAACTGAAGAGACTCTCTAAAACTTAAAAGTTTGCCCGAGAAATCTGGTAACAGGAAAGAAATCATGCCCACATGGTTTTAGAGTTGGGCTGTTAGGTCAAATCTTCAAGGACCAGATAACTTCTGTGATACCTAAACTGCCACAGGGCCTGAAAAATAAGAGAAAGCCTCCTTAATGGTTATACAAGGCTGGTATAATTTGTATCCCCAAAATTGACAAATACAAAGCAAGAAACTATAGATCAATTCTGTCTATGTACCCAGATGCCAACACCCATACTCACTTTGGTAAACAGTGTGGTGTACAAAAAATATATATAACAAAAAATGTTTACAATAATTTTTTTAAAGGTAGATCAAAGTTAAGACCTTAAGTATTAAGAATTAAGGAGAAATCTGTTCAGCATCTCAATAGATGTATTATAAAATTTCTAAATTTCAATACCAATCAGTTTAGTGGGAAACCCTTATCTAGTAATTTGAGAGCATTTTAAAATTCATAAAGTGGAACCAAAACTACACATTGTACATAATAAAACACTGGAGACACACTCATTAAAATCAGAAACTAGACAAAGGCGCCTACTACCATTATTTCAGTATTGAGAATATGATAAAAATTTCTGATCACCGCAATAAAACCAGATATGAAACAAGAAATAAAGATATAG